ACTCCTGACAATGGACTGCCAGTCACTATTATTTAGTGTAAAATATTATATTACATATATGTAATTTTTAAAATTGCAGTGTTCCACATTGAAGCAATTAAATATCAACACCAAATGTTTATTCAGTTTAAAGGCAACTTAGAAATACTGATGCCAGACAGAAAGATGCTTTAGCCACAAGTCAGGTGTTTGGAAGTTGTCACAACTAAACCAACAAAGGGATCTTGAGGCATAATAAGCATTCATGCATTTTCAGCTATACCTCTGCTTGTCTTGAATATGGAAACCTAAGCTGCAGTTATGCCACAGCACAGAATGTATTATGTTTTACATCACTGAGCCTTAGTTTACAAATGGTAAAAAAAAAAATAGGGAAGGTAAACTGTGAAGTTTCCTTAAGGAGCTGTTACATCCAACAGACTCATGAAAATCTTTGCCAAGTGTCCCCGGTATATAGCTCCTCCCCACTGATGGGCTCAATGGGGAGAAGCTATGCACATGTCTCAACTTTCATATGCTCAACGGCAATAAAGGATTCTCAGGGTAAAGTAGGGGATATCAATAACATAGCACACTGAAAGGACTGTAATGTTACTTCAGAGTGTTGCAAAATAAAGATCACAGATGAAAGTTTTAGTTCATTGAAGCATGTAATCATGTATATTTCATTAGTGTGTTTTAAAGTCTTATACTGCTTACATTCTTATGTGGGAAAATATATTTTGTCTCTGCTTTGTGGATGAAATGTGAACAGGCAAAACTAAAAATAATTTTACAACCCAAATCACCAGATGTTAATGGCTGGTAATTCAACCGGAAACCTGAAAGATAACATCTATTTCATTGTGATACCAAATATCAGTGACAAGGAAAATTTTATTTGTGGTATTTAAGTGTAGGCCTCTGGAACAAATGACTTGGTTCACAGGCAGCACGCTCACTGCTGAACTGCCACGGCCTAACAGCCTGTCTCATCTGCCAAACTGCTTGTTAGGTTTGGTAATCTTCACCTGTGCCTCCAGTTTATATTTCAGCAAGCAATACACATCAGTCTGCTTTTATCATCTTCTGTAGTGAGCTTCCAACACTTCTTCAGCAGTACGGTGCCCCTGCATCTGCAATCCTCCAAACACACCTTGTATACATGTCATTATTTTCAACTGTTAATTCACCTTCCAGCTTTGGAGGCCAGTTTAGCTTAAATAAAGCAAAAATACAAGACAGAGAATACGCAAGGTAAGTCCTGTATTGTAAATATTAAGTGGGCCGACCATTTAATTTTTTAACATTAAAAAAGAATACCTTAACCATACTAATTTAATATTTAAATACGGATTTCAGAGTGTATTTTGGCATGGGGCACAGGGGACAATAGAGTAGAGGATTCCTCTTCCAATTGTCTCTGACCTATCCAACCTTTGTTACAGGTCAGAGAGTTCTCCAATCTATAAACAAACAACAGAGATAATGTGGCAACCAGGACACAGAGATGTACTAGAGTACTGCTCAGCTCTCTGCCTAGGACTGATCCTATTGATTCCCGACAATGAGCGCTGTGAAATTTAGAGGCAGATCAATACAAATACACACAAACACAAACACACAAAAGAGATACTTCATGGGCAAAAAGCACCAAAGATTTAAAACAAAATGTCTGAAAGACCATAAAACAACTTCTGATGAAATGCCGTTTTCATTTTACAGAAGTAAAATATTCACCACCGACCCTACAATTAGCTTAAAAATTACAATAAGAACATTAATTTTGGATCCCATCTCCAATTCATACCTCATCAACATGTAATAATCACACTGTATCAACAACAAAGCTGGATAGACTTTATATGCTGAATATAACTTGTACAGTAAGAAGGTAATTTTTTGAAATAGTGAGAATATAACATTTGTATGCCATGCTCTACTTCACAAGTTAAAAGAAAATATAATCATTTCTATTTTTAAAATACATTGAAATAAAATACAGAAAAGAGGATTCTAATACCAGTTAACATTAAGAGAATATATCTCTAAACCAAAGATCTTGGATCTTCTAGAAAGAAAAAAAAAATCAACCTGTAAATACTTGGGTAAGAAAAAAAAAAATTAAGAGACTAAGAAAGGAGAGAGGATGTTAGCTTACAATCATCTCCAAAAATGGCTTTCCATTTCCTCCTCTGACGTCAACAGCCTAAATTACCAAGGAAATGCAAAATAATTCAATTTGTGCATTAATCAGCCAACCTAGAAATGGCAATATAGTCAATGAAAATACAAAGAAATAGAAAATGTTAAGGAATTGTTTAACATGTTTAAGATGACATAGCGCAGGCAAAAAGTGATCTGATAAACACTGGAAGAGTTAATAAGCAAACTCAGGCATGGTTCCCTAACGCCACACTTCAAAAGAACTTATAGAGAGAATAAAGGAATAATCCTTTTTTTAAAAAAAATCTAATTTTAGAAAAAAATTGCTCAACAGGGAAGTTAGTTTTGTAGATCTTTTGGAAAGCTGATTAATTTCTAAGCTAAAAACACATGATCCTTAAGAGAAATGGCTGAGTCCAGGCCCAAGGCAGAAAGAAGGCAAAATGAGCCTGGATCCTCTTGTTCTGTCAGAAAGGAAGAAATGCTCAAAGACTAACAGAGACAGTTGAAAGGACACAGGAGACAGGCTGAAGGCTCCCACGGCCGAATCTGGGACAGCATAGGCATCAGAAAGAACAATGATGGTGATGGAAAATAACTCATGGAATAAAACACAAGTGCATTAGTCAGAGGTGATACCAAAATAAAGAGAAGTGAAAGCTCTTTGTTAAAGATGCCAGCTAACAATGTAGGAGGAATGACAGAGGAAGAACATTCATTTTAAGTCACCAGTGCCATAACTGATAGAGAAGATCATCAGGAGGCTAAAATCACTGAATGAAAGAAAACTATACGAAGCTAATTAACGTAGCACGATATATAAATGTATGAAAACATAAATTAGAAAAAACAAAAAAATCGTACCATAAGAGATACATTAGAATAGAATGGATAAGTTAGAATACAGCAATAATAGGCCAGGCATAGTGGCTCACATTTGTAATCCCAGGACTTTGGGAGGCCAAGGTGGGAAGATGGCTTGAGCCCAGGAGTTCGAGACCAGCCTGGGCAACATAGTGAGAACTCATCCCTAGAACAAAATTTAAAAAATTAGCTGGGAGTGGTAGTGCACTCCTGTAGTCCCAGCTACTTGCGGGGTAGAAGTGGGAGGATCACTTGAACCGGGAGTTCAAGGCTGCAGTGAGCCAAGATCACACCACTGCACTCCAGCCTGGGAGACAAAGTGAGACCTTATCTCAAAACAAAAACAAAAAAACCACAACTACAAAAAACACCAGTAACAACAAAATGATGACTACATAAAGACTGTACAGAAAAACAATTGCTCAGAATATAGAAATAAAATTATGTATTTTACTTGTAACTGTATTAGAAGAGAGTATTCTTATAGAAAAAGGATTACCAGATGGATATGCAAAAGTGAAAATAGCTAATAACACTCGTTATGTCAGGCACTGAGGTATTAGTTTATGCACATTGTAACAAATTACATACTAGATTACCTCAAAATTTTCAGATAAATTTTACTGGGAGTCACAAATCAATACAACAAAACCAATGTTTTGCAAATATCCACTATGTATAAAAGTATATAAATTCCGAACCCAGGTTGAAAAATAATTCACATAAGTCATACATCAGTGGAAACCTACCCATGGGAGATAATACAACATAATCTAAATAAAACTTTCAGAGACAAGGCATGTGGCTTCTGGACAGCCACAAACTCCCTGACTCTGCTCTAGTGTTTTGGCCTCCAAAAGAAAGTCGAGTGGCCTCAGGTCTCTTAAAAAACAAGAAAGCAACCTATGGAAGATGGCGTGGTATTTGAGAAATATTTGGGGTCTGCTGAAAAATGTATCCTGTATTTTATTTCTAGAAAAGCCTCCCTCATAAGGTCAGATGAGTGAAGAGCCCACAGAGACACATGCACACACAAAGAAAAACAAAACAACATAGAATGAATTCCACCAAAATGTGTTATGATGGCAGAATTACGGGTGATATAATCTTCTGAAATATATCTTTTTATTAAAAATAGAAAAAAAGCAGACTTCCCCTTGATTATCTATAGCCTCTGACCCAAGTGGCTTGGAATCAGAAAACAGCATCACCCGACTTGAAGCCATCTTGGCATCAATGGTGGAGTGGGTGGAGATGAGACTCGACCAGCTCATGGGTGGGCTCCACCTCGTCAAGATCACCAAGAAAGGGCACGTGAGGAAAGTCCAAAGATCCTGGAGAGACACTGGTTTCACTCAGTTTTCAAAATTAACTTAGACACATTTCCTGAGAACCTTTCTCAATGCCTCAAAAGCCCGAGAAGAAAATCCTTACAACAAAGCTTGAAATGGATCCCCGTATCCATTAAACTTTTCCAAAGCTCAGTAAATATATAACCTGATAACCTAAACATCTAGCTAGAAAAATCTCAGTTCCAGTGCTACAACAATGCTAGCTTTTCTAACATTTTAAAATAACCCTGATTTTAACCCAATAAAATTCCACTTGAGAACTAAGAAATAAACATTGGAAATCCGCTTTGAAATAAAGAATGAGGAGACCATTGTGAAAGAGAAAAAGAAAAAGACCGAGAGCTGGCGAGCACACTGGTTTTGTAGAAATGGAGATAAGCTGTGCAGGTGCCACACAGGCAGCAGGGCCCACGCCGGGGCCACGGATCAAGGAGGCATGGAGGACAGGACGCTTCTGCTTGGTACAATGAAAAAAAGGTATTCTTTTTATTCTACATATTTACAATATGCATTTAGGCCTTTATTATAAGTACCAGAGAAAAATCTTCAATAGATAAAAGCTGAGTACATTATCTTTTTTGATTAAAAAATAGACTCGGAAAGAATAATGAGAGTTCAGAGCAATGACTCCCGTCTCACCTGTGCCTGAAAACCGTGGCTGCCACCAAGGTCAACATAGATAGCGTCTTTGTCATACAGCACTCGCCCAACTCCAGAAAAAGGCACATAAACCAGCTGCTCCTTCTTATTCTTTCGTTGTTCAGGAAGAGCGCAAGGGTCTGGGAGGAAACCGATGTCACTCATGGCAAAATCTTCTACCCCTGGAAGACAGGACCCAAAAAGCCAGCTTCAGCTGACAGGAAGTCAGTAAGTATCTACTGTTGACTGGGGGGTTAACAATGATCCACAGTCCAAGGGCTTAACCCATGACCCTAAAGAAGGGCATCATGCCACACTGGAACAGTGGCCCTCTAGCTACAAGAGGTCAGAGAAGAGGGGATTCGGTAACAGCTTTGCAGGCCTACACATAGCTGGCTTACTTTTGAAACCTCCAGCAAGGCCATCTTCCCTTGTTTGGTCATTTTTCACTTTTCCTGAGAAATGAAGCCATCCCAAGAATCCTATGTGTAATTCTAGTATGTTCTACAACAAGAGAATACCTGCCATGTGAATTTGGCTTTTATTTTTCAAGTGTGCTCCTCTTACATAACCATAAAGTGACACCTGCCGGTCACATTTGATGTTTATTCAGATATCCTCTGAGTTTGTCAAATCTTCCATCCTAGAAAAATAAACTCAATCATACAGCAGATATGAATGCCAAAAGTTCTTATACCTCCTTTCATGTGTCAATGACTCATCACACTCTTGTCCACTAAGCACGCTGTTTAGAAAACCAGAAAATACAGAAATAAGGAAGCACCATTCACCATCCAGCAGAAGAAAGGGGGCAGGCACACAATTGTGTCTCTAGGCTGAAAGTGACATTCAGTAAGACATCAGACACGGACATGCATTCCGTAAGACATCAGACAGGGAGATGATGTCCACCTGGGGTCAGGGAAGAGCAAAGAACATATTCAGAAAATCCCTTTCTGGAAGAGGGTGAGCCTGTGCTCTGGGATTTTTGCTGTGGCTTGGATTCTGGCAGGTGGAGAAAGGGTATTCCAGGCTGAGAAAACCACAGCACAAAGAAGAGCACAAAGGAAGGAAACTGAAGGCACACATGAGGACTCAAGCACCCGGGCACGAAGGCAGCATCACTGAAAACTGAGGATGAATGTAGGATGGGGCCACATCCTGTAGCCTTAAATGCTTCCAAGTCCTCCCATTCTCCTAAACATCTCATAATTAATTTACTTTCAAAGGCACAGCATCTTTGAGCATGATATAAATAGACATTTTCCATCAACTACACTTCTACCCCCACTATTCAAACAGGCACAAAATAAATCCTATCACTGTTCTTTTTCTAGCCTTTTTAGCTTTGAAATATATGGCCTGGGAAGAAAAAGTTTACAATCACTTTTTACCTGTCTCCCAGGACATAAGGGTGAGAAGTTTCCCATGTGAGAGGCCTAAACTTCATAACTGTAATAAAACGGCCCAGATTGTGGATTTCTTGGTTTTGATATTCTCCACGCAGCATTCCAGAAAGGTAGAACAGTTTGGCACCCTAAACATTAAAGGAAAATTAAAAATTAAATTTCCATTAAATTCTCGTCAATACTGCAACAAAATAAAAGCTCTAAACAAGCAGCAATCCTAAGAAGGGAGACTTCCAGCAAAGCCACTGTCCTCAGGCTTCCAGAGCCTTGCTGGCTTCTTTCAGGACTTATTAGAGCCCCACAGAGGCAGACTGCTCTGCAGCCGAGCAGGGGCATCCATCTAAGTATGGTGAGGAGAGGGAGGTGAGGCCTCTGAGCACAGAAATGCTTCTGTGGCCGATGGACCAGAGCAGTATGGAAAGGAAGGGGCAGTGCCTGGTCCTGTAACTGGGAGAAACTTCTGATGTACTCTATTAAGTCCCAACCCCCAAACACCCAGACACTGCCTGGTGCAGCAGGTACAGAGACAAATGAGATACACCAAGAGGCCCAGAATAAGCACTCTTTTGAGGGAAACCTTCCAGAGACTGGGAACACAAACACAAAGGGAATTCAGGAGGCAAATCCTAGAGACGTTTAGTAACATCTCTTCAGTCTTTCTGTTTGTTTGTTTGAGACAGAGTCTCACTCTGTCACCCAGGCTGGAGTGCAGTGGTGCAATCTCAGCTCACTGCACCCTCTGCCTCCAAGCTTCAAGCAATTCTCACGTCTCAGCCTCCCAAGTAGCTGGAATTACAGGCGTGCATCACCACACCCAACTAATTTTTGTATTTTTAGTAGACACGGGGTTTGGCCATATTGCCCTGAGCTCGAAACTCCTGGCCTCAAGCGATCCGCCCTAGTCTGCCTCCCCAAATGCTGGGATTACAGGCATGAGCCACTGTGCCCAGCCTCTTCAGTCTATTTTAAAAGGATTATACTGTTAGCATCTAAAAATTATTTCTCTTCCTACTGGGTAAACTTCTGTCCAGAACCTGTGTTTTAATCGCTTCTTTGGCTTCTTCAGTTTCTCATTATGCTTGAAGGAGTCGAGGTGGGTGAGACCTCCCATAATTTTAGGAAAGCGATGTACTTGACAGATGTTTAGAAACTCAAAGGTTTCCATTTCAAACCCAAAGCTGGCATCTATAAGCATCAGTACCTACAAACAGAACACATCATTTCTCAAAGAAACTACCAAAACAGACCACCTACACTGGTGGTTGGCAACTGGCCACGTGCCAAATCCACCCATCACCTGTGTTTGTAACTAAAGTTTTATTGGAACACAGCCACATTAATTCATTTACATATTGTCTATGGCTGCCTGTGCACTACAACTGCAGAGCTAAGTAGCTGCAAAAGATACGATCCACAAAGCCGAAAATATTTACTATCTGGCCCTCAACAGAAAAGTCCCACTGCAGAGTAAATCAAATGACTACATAGGCATCACCCAGAGAAACCACCACCCTCTGACTTGCTCTAAAAGCCAACCATAAGACAACGTCCACTAGGATATAAACTTTCATTTTAAGAATTCTAATGCATGAGAAATAACTCAGAAAAGGCTGGGTCTAACCTGGCCCTTACCTAAGAAATCCTAATTTAAAGAAAGGAAGTTTTCTGTAATGTACTTTTAAGCCAAATAACAGGTCTCTGACATCCAAAGAATGGGAAGAAAGTGATAGTCAATGAAATATATTAAATAGGTATAGAAAACCAACCTCTTCTTTCAATCTCCTCACACACACACACACACACACATATAAAATCTGTTTTTTGCTGGGAAGTATGCAGTGGAAACCTCTATCTTGTATGTTAATTTGTATAACTCAATGCTCAGAAACTTTTTAAAATAGCTAACAGTTTAGAATTAAGTCAAAAAAACAGTAAGATTACGATGGATGGTAGTATATAAGAAAATATAAGCAGATAAGACCAATTTTTAAAATTTAAGATGCTTCAAAGATGCAAAATAATTTCAGAATTGATTCCTGGAAACTTCTAGTTTTAATATTAAAGATAGTTCTGTTCTTACCTTTCCATGGATAACTGAAAATAACACAAAATGGAAACAGAAATGCTCACCTTTGATTAAACTAGGAAACATTCAAAACCCAAAACCACAGAATATATGAAGTTGGGCTTGCAGGAAAGCACAACAGCCACTGCAGACCGAGGCAGCAAGCAGAGCTCTCCAGCAACACTGGACCAGCTCAAAGAACAGGTGGAAAATCCTCACAAGACATCTGATGCCACAGAGTGCCAAGGAGCAAGCAGCTGGTTGTAGGGTCAGGAAGAACAGGGAGCAAACAGGCCCTCAGCTGCCAATCTTTGTCATCTAAGCCAGTGTTACTCCCCTAATCCACACACGCATGTACACACCCAAATCCATGTACTGTGTGTGCCTTTGCCGTAGTCAGGAGTCTCTGACAACCCAGAGCAGAGCAATCAACATAAGCTAAGCTAAATAAATTATGGTGCATCCATAGAATGGAATATTATATTAAAAAGGAGGCAGCGCTACAGTACTTACTGATTATATACCTCCAAGATATATTACAGGAAAAAAGCAAAGCACAGAAGAGTGTGTAAAATAAGCTACCATTTGTGATTTTAAAGGGTGGCACGTGTGTTCATATGTATCTGGAAGGATACTGCTCTGCAGGGACCTGAGAGACCAGTGGTTAGAGCAAGGAAAGAGAAAACGTGCATTGTGTGTACCCTGCATTAGTTAGAGTGCTTTACCAAATGTGTGTGCTCCTTTTGAAAATCTGAAAAATATTTACATAGGCATCTCCCTCAGTGATGGTTAAGAGGCTGGGAAGGGGAGCAGGGAGGGAAGGACAAAGAGGGAAAGGTTAACAGGTACAAAAATACAGTTAGATAGAATAAATTCTAATGTCCAACAGCACAATAGGGTGACTATAATTTATTATATAATTCAGAATAACTACAAGAATGAAATTAGAATGTTCCTAACACAAAGAAATGATAAATGTTTGAAGTGATGGATATCTGAATTACCCGATTTGATCATCACACATTGTATGCTTCTATCAAAATACTACACGTACCCCATAAATATGTACAACTATTATGCATCCATAATAACTAAAAATAAAAAAAGTAAAGGCATCTCTTAACATGCATGTCTTTAAAATTAGAAACTTGCTACATTTTAAATAAAAGAGAAACAAATGACTTCTGTGAACTATTTCAATATTTTCAAGTATACAAGATTTAGTAATCTCTATACAACTTTACATTAATTACACTTTTTACTAATAGTAGCATTACATGTTCAAAATTTGACTGTTATTTAGTTTTCTGACATTACAATGGCACAACTTTAAAATCTGTATTACTTTTTCCTTTATATTTTAGGAGTCTTCTTGGGCCAGAATATAAAATAAGTAGCTCTAGAAAAAAACTAAATAAAAATGAAAGAAACAGGGTATCTGTCACCCCACACTTCCTAATCAATATGGCTTATTTTTTGCTACCTTTTTTTTTTTTTTTTTTTTTTTTGGAGACAGAATTTCACTCTTGTTGCCCAGGTTGGAGTGCAATGGCGCGATCTCGGCTTACCAAAACCTCCGCCTCTTGGGTTGAAGTGATTCTCCTGCTGCAGCCTCCTAAGTAACTGGGATTATAGGCATGCACCACCCCACCCAGTTAATTTTATATTTTTAGTAGAGGTGGGATTTCTGCATGTTGGTCAGGCTGGTCTCGAACTCCTGACCTCAGGTGATCCGCCCACTTCAGTCTCTCAAAGTGCTGGGATTACAGGCGTGAGCCACTGCATCTGGCCTTTTTTTTCTTTTTTTTTTCTGCTAATTTTAATTTTATTTTTGCTAATTTAAGAGATAGTTAATAGAATATCAGAAATAGTGAACATTATCATTTTCATAAATGCAAGAGCCTGTACATTTTCCACACACTGAGTACTATCTAAATTTTCCATTGATAAACTCTGGCCTCTTCTTCAGGCAATTCATGTACTTACTTTAGCGTTATCATTAAGGATGAAGGTTCCAGAACCATCAGGAACAAGGGTCCCATCTTCACACAAGTTACTTAACTGCTGGGAGGCTCTATTTCATCTTATGTAAACTACAGATAATACCTACTCACCTCAAGGGTGTACCAAGGGTTTACGTAAGCTAAATTTATAGAAAGCAGTTAGCACAGTGCCAGGAAGGGTCCAAGAAGAAATGGTACTTACTATGATATATTTGTACATATATATGTATGCATGTTAATGAGCTCGTATTAGCTGTGTTCATTAAAGGTTTTCTCCATCCTGTGATGTGCTTTTAGATTTTGGAATACATTTCATTGTGCACATTCCATCTGCATTATTAATATAACAACATTTATTACTATTACTATTGTCATCATCAATTCAATTACATTTACTGTATCCCTGATGATGACCATGATTCCTTTAATAATCATAAAACTCTCTTCCCTTCATCACAGGGTAAATAACCTATCATAACGCTCTAAGTCTCCATCAGCACCCCAGGCTGCCCCTGCTGACTAACCAGATCTGCTACTTTAGCCAGATCAACCATCATGTTAATGTCACACCCACATTCAATAATGGTGAGTCTGTATTTTTTACCTATAAGTGAAAAGATGAAAATTTTACTTTAAAAAGACCCTGAAAAACTCTAACCATCAACTCTTAATTTTCATTTTTTAATTGCATCCAGTAAAACACCATATACGTTTACAGGAGTGTACCTGAAGTTCATTTGTATAGGCAAAAACTGGTAAAATAAAATAAATTCCATCCTGTTTTTCTTCCTGTGTTCTAAATTTAGATAATATCAAAAGTCTACTCAGATGAATAAAAGTGCTCAAACAGGGAAAATTCTGACTAGACAGGCTCCATGATAACCATGATCTTGCTGTTCAGCTGCGGGCCAATGTCTTCACCTCTATCAAAATTTCCTGTATACCCACTATCGCTAAAAACATCCTCAGACATAATGCAACAGAATACTTATAATGATAATTATTTCTAAATTAAGGTAATAAGAAAATGGTCAAGAAAATATGGGCTGGGCACAGTGGCTCAGGCCTGTAGTCCCAGCACCTTGGGAGACCAGGACAGGTGGATCCCTTGAGCCTCGTTTTGAGACCAGCCTAGGTCACATGGGTAAACCCCATCTTTAGAAAAACATAAAAATTTACAAAAAAGGAAAAAAATGATAAATTAGCCAGGCATGGTGGCATACACTACTCAGAAGGCTAAGGTAGGAGGATTGCTTGAGCCTGGGAGGTTGAGGCTGCAGTGAGCTGTAATCACACCACTGCATTCCAGCCTGTGCCACAGAGTAAGACTCTGTCTCAAAAACGGAAAAGAAAATATGGATGCTCCAAAGATAAAGAAAAGCCTCAATCCAACTATATTACTGCAATAACAAGAGATTTCAGAGTGTGCATTGCCATTCTACCACTGGAAGTTTGTTTCATCTTCCTTCAAACTTGGAAAGGGCATCATCTTCCAAAGCTGATAAATTCTCATAGGAAAAAGAGAAAAGGCGCACTTCCACCAGCATGCGGCTTCATAAGGGCAAGCATGTGCACCTGGCACATAGGAGGTACGTACTCTGTTACATGGTGTGTTCACAGTGACAAGGCCTGCTAGGCCCTTCAAGGAACATGCATGGCAAAGCCATAGAGCAGTCAGGATAAGATATGTATCACATCCTTATCTCTGGGAACTTACCCTTTTCTGAAGTTATAGCCAACTTAGTAAAAGTATAAGAGAGGTAACATAATATGAAAATATTTAACATGTTCCACTCAAGAAAACAACAAACACACGCATGTCCCTCAGATGAAAACAACCACACCAACTCTGTGTCTGTGGCGGCATCTTCTACCTGACGCAATCGTCACAGGGCCTCTGATCTCAGTCAACTTCTGCCGGGTGAAGTTCCCAATGAGGCATTATATCAAAGTGCTCTTTCCAACTTTGGAGGCCCCGTCACCACTGCTACTATTGGTGGGGGCTCTAGTGGAGTTCAATAAACCACTGGCATATGATGCCTTCTTATCTTCAAATCCTAAGTCCCATTTATTTAAAAAAAAAAAAAAAAAGTAAACTCACTTTCAAAATAGAGTAAAAGGTATCAATCTTGTAAGTAGACTTTTTTTGTGTATACTTTCAGATATAGAGTACAACAGACAATACAAAAATATAAGTAACTTGTCAATTATTAACTTTTGACCCCTATCCAAATCAATTGCTGTTCAATAAAGATGTAACAAGATGACTTCAATAGTATAGAGTTGAAAATTAAACACTCCTTAAATCTGACGGTTTTACGAGTGATTTTAATAATTTTTTAAAAACCAAAACGTAAATACCGAGGCAGTGCATCATAACAGATAAGAGCAGAGGCTCTGGAGTTAAATTTGGCTCTCCTGCTTACTGGTTATATGATTGGAGGTAACGTGTTTTCTTGACCTCAGTTTTCTTGTCCATAAAATGAGGGCAAGAATGATTCCTACTCTGGTAAGGCTGCTGGAAGCATTTAGTTGAATAATGTTTAAAGTACACTGCTAAGAATATCACAAGGACTCACTAAATAAAGCTATGTTAGTATTACATATTGTAATTTTTGTATTTTATATTACAACTTTGTAAAACATATCCAGAGGGAAAAAGCACACTTATCACCATAGAAACAGTTTAAAGTTTAGGAAGAAACAAATTCTATAAATTCTTGTATCTTGGGCAAGAAACACCAACCAGTGTGCAAATGCTGGAGGCAAGGCAGCTTCTATGGCAAAGTTTCTCACGTTTTGGTAAAAGCCACACAGCATGCATCTCCATGTCCTTTGGAGCTGAACTAGACTTGTGACTCCAAATGTCACCTGTAAGAGGCTCCTAGTATTTAAAAAGAATCAATGGAAGAACCAACAGACTGTAGCTAACATACCTGTGAAAGGATTGAGCCATCCCCACAGCAGACTGAACTGCAAAAGCTTTGGGATTTCTCTTCCCGGCATCTTTGTCTCCTAGCTGGAGATCCTACAGATGCCGCTTCTTTTTCTTTGCAGCTTTGGGTCCACTGTTTTTCTTTCTGTGTTTCTTCTGGTCCTCAGTCTCCATAGTGGCTATTTACCAACAACAAGTTGGTAACCTACAAGGAAGAAGGTTGGGGTAAGGAGGTGGGAGAAGCATTTTACAAGCCAGGCAATACCCAGGGGAAAACATTAAATTTCATTTATTTCTTTATGAAGAGATGATGTATTTGTTCTCTGAACAAGGGTACAAACTGCTTAACCATCCCCAATTTCATTTCTCTCTGTTATGCTATAAACTAGATGAGTTACCTCTGCTAAGGTTACATTTTATGGTTAAGTTACTTTTTATTCATCTCAAGTGTCACCATCAGCTGTATCTATTTCCGCAAGGATGAAAATATTCCATATCTGTACTTTTCAGCCATTTAGCCATAAGCCACATGTGATTACTTAAAATGTACTTAAAGAAACTGAAAAAATGAATTTTTAATTAATTTCATTCTAACTCTAAATAGTCACATGTGGCTACCATACTTGACAGCTCAGACCTAGATATCAACTGGACTAATGAAGTGGTTTCCTAATTTAAACTGAAACTTAGATTTTAATAAAATATTTAAAACGTTTTTATGAACTTCCAATATGATCGCAGTATTAGTTTTAGTACCTGTTGACTCTGTAAAACTCCTAAATTACAGCTCATCTACATACAGTTGAAAAATAGTAGTATCTGTATATTTGAGATATGACTAGTTCTGGATGACGCCTGGAGACCCCATGGACTTACAGAGACCCTTCCAGTGATTTCTAAGGTACCTGGGAATCTGTGGCCAATAAATTGGTAATCACTGAATTAGTGAGTTTTTTTTAGGATATCGGGCTGCATAAAATCTGACAGCTTGATTGAAAAAAAGCGGAGCAGGGTGCCATTTCATTCAATTAAGGTCTTGTATTCATTCCGTTTAATAAATGTTTGCATCTATCTATGATGCGCTAGCCACTGTGCCAGTAAATGGATATAGCTATGATCTGACTTGCAGAGGAAATCCAAACTAGTACCTTCCCTGCCATGCAACAAGGGCTACACTGCAAGGCTGCACAGGGTGCTACTGGAGCACAGAGGTGAGTCAGAGGCTTCCCACAGACACACACACGAGCGGAAACAGAAAGTCTTTATATATCACCATAATGTCAAGGAACACTGACCGGGAGTTAGGAGAGCTGGGCACTAGGAACGCTTTGAAACTGAATAGCTGTGTGATTTCAGAGGTTATGTTGCTTCTCTACTATGTTTTAGTGCCGAACTTGTACTGTTTCTCTCCCTTCTCTTCTCGGTGGGAAAAGCACAATTTGGGGTCAACAGATTCGGCTCAGGTCTAAGTCGCTTGCGGGGGCCATGTCGCCAGGAAACGACACCTTCCCCGTCTCCCCGACACCTTCCCTCCCAGTCCCGGCTCTCTGCAGGGATTCATCCCGTCACTCTCCCAACGACCCCCGGGCACACCTCCGGCAGATGCTAAATATGCTGCCCCTTGGGAGCAAAGATGACCCGGAGGACCGGGGGAGGACCTTCCCACGCGCACTACTCGAGATCTTCCCAGTGCCCCAGAGCCAGGGACCCCACGTCCGCCTATCCCAGCCCGTGGCACCGAACCTGCTCACAACTACGACTCCCTAAGTCTGCTTGAACACTGCCGGAAACGGAAATTCACCCTCATGCCGACTCGCCGTAGGGAAACAAAAAGGCAGAGAAAAGAGACCGCCGCCTGGACCACTTTCAGGGGTGAGCAGGAAGAAAGATTAGTCAACAGCTGAGTGCGGGCGCCGGCGCAGTTTGCGCAGTGCGTTCCACCGGCTCCCTCCCGATTCAGCCCCACCCCGCTCTCGGAATCCGCTGCCTCAACTCCCGCCATGGGACTCCGGAACCGCTTGCACCGCGCTCGCACGAGTCCTCGCCGAAAGCCAGGGCAGCTGTGCGGCCTGGCGCTGGTTGCTTGATGCCATGCAAAAGCCAGAAGGAGACACATTTGGTTCTGGCCGCCCCGCAGTCACTGTACCCGGGGCGAATGGACTATGGCTGGATTGGGAGTCCACTTCCTCCCCTGTAAAGATGACAGACGAGGGGGATCTCGCGTTCTGGGGGTGCCCCATAGCCCTCTTTTGGCCGGAAGCGGTGGCTCACGCCTGTAATCCCAGCCCTTTGGGAGGCCAAGGCGAGAGGATCGCTTGAGCCCTAGGGTTCAAGACCAGCCTGGGCAACATAGGGTGACCCCGTTTCTCGGGGAAAAAAAAAAAAGCCGGGTACGGTGGCTCACGCCTGTAATCTCAGCACTTTGGGAGTCTAAGGCGGGAGGATTGCTTGAGCCCAGGAGTTCAAGACCAACGTGGGCAACATAAGGAGGCTACCTCTCTCAAAAAAAAAAAAAAAAAAAAAGTCATCAGCGTCATGGCGGGCGCCTGTGGTCCCTGTGGTCCCAGCTACTCTGGAGGCTGAGGCGGGAGGATCGCTTGAGCCTGGGAGGCGGAGGTTGCAGTGAGCTGAGATCCAGCCACTGGACTCCAGCCTGGGCGACAGAGCAAGACACTGTCTCAAAGAAAAATACATAAATAAAATAAGGCCCTCTTTTTCAGGACCAACAGACTCTGAGGGCAGGGACAAACTGACCCAGCCTAAACTGCCTCGCTTTCCCTGCTCCCGGGAAAGGGGCTTTCCCTGACAGAATGTAGCATCTTGCCGTTTTCTTCCTGCACGGCTTTGCCTCCCAGGGATCCACCCACTGCCACCTGAGGAAATGCTTTGGAGCCCATCTAACCCCCAGCCCAGCTCCTTGGGACACCTAGAGCGTACATTGTCAGAGGATGCATCTTCCTCTGTCTTGGAGGGTTTCTTTTCAATATGATCCCACCGGTGCCCTCAAGGCTCAATTCTACACCAAAAAACTAGGCCCACTCCTGTCAGCGACACCCCCAGGCTTCAGGTCCTGTCACAGGGACCTTGATTTCGCCCCCAGCAGCCCCCAGGTATTCACTCTGCATAGGCTATATACTGGGTGCTAGACTAGGGAAGCTACCCACGTGGCGCATGCTTCCCTTATCCATGAAGAGCTTGGGATGCAACTTCTTCACACCAGGCCTCTTACTTCTTGGAGATGTCAGTATCCGGGTAGATAATCCTTCTAATATCCTTTTGGTCTCATGAAGCCTACTCTTGTCCTCTGGCCTACCTCAGCTTCCCCCTCCCTCCATAATCGACCTTAGAACTTGTCAGGTCCAAGGACTGCAACCCTCACAGTATCCCACTCTGACCACCACCTCCTGTCTAAAGCAATGGAGAGACTTTGAAGGTGAAAGCTGTCTTTGTTATTCATTCTCCTATGCTCCCTCGCCTGGCTCCTGCAGGTGATTGACTTCTCCAGGGACACAGTGACCAGTGCCCAGCAGGTTCCACTCCATCCACCAGCTCCAGGCAGTTTTGTTATAGAGTAACTCTTCTGAGACACCGCTCCTTTCCCCAGCACCTAAGGAAGTATTTCTAGTAAGTTCCAGTGGTATAGCACTGGTGACTCCCCTGACATGCAGAGGGCCATGGCTGGGTTCCTCTGATGAGGTGCAGGGGCAGGGCACTAAGAGGGGAGGACTCTCCTGAGTTCTCTACCTCAGCCCTAGACTAGTGGCTGCTACTTCTCTACTTCCTACTAGTCTGTGCCTGGTTACTCTTCTTCCCTGTTGCAACGAACAATTCCCTATGTACACTTGTCCTGTTCAAATGACTTTGTGGCTTTTCTTTCCTAATAGAACTCTGACCAATATGCTATCATTTGCTAATAACTCCCAAAGTTTTATCAGTGACTCAGACCTCTAACCTGAACTCCAGCTGCCTCCATGACATATCCATTTGGATGTTTAATAGACATTTCCAAAGTGATATGCCCAACAGAACTCAGGATCTTCCCTCTCAAACCAACTGCTCAACAGTCTTATGATCTCAGTTGATGGCAATTCAGAACTGAATTGCAGGACACCCAGTTTGTATCTGCAGAGAACTGGAGAACTGCTTAGTGTGGAAAACCCACACATTTGGTGTCACAAGTGTTGAGTAGAAACAGTTTTCCTTTTATGTCTGTTGGATGGATAATGACGAACCTAGCAGGGCACAGAAAGCTAGGCAGCAGTGAAACTGAGAATGAAGTTATAGTTAATAGCAGAGAATGAAAAAGAAAAGACAGATAAAACATTTTGAAGAAAGCACAGTAATGTATTCCCAACAAGATTTACGGGATGAAGGAGAGAAGAGGCAACGATAACTACAAAATTTCTAGCCTGAGAGACTGGTAGAAAAAAATGGTGGTATCAGGGACAGATGGGGTTATTTAGAAAAAAGATTGGATTTTTAAAATGAAGATCTGGTGCAAAATTATCCTCAGGAAAGTTAGAAATCTAGGCACGTACTTCTCTCCATCATGTCCTTGCATAGTGCAGTCCCTCTGCCTGTCCATGCCTTGCCTCCCCCTCCGTAGGATTCCTCTCCCTCTCTTAAGACCCATCTCAAATATCACCTAGACTTGTAAGTAATGTATATGAAGCTGGATAGCTGAGGTTTCACACCTTTATCCCTTTAACCTTTTCTGTAACAAGTTACTGTTATCTTTTACTAAATCCAACTTTATATTCACCATTTTAACTAGCATCATTTCCATTTCCAAGACCTGTTTGGTGTGAAAGTGCAGCTAAGTTTATAGTCAATCAAGATCAGAATAAAAGAATCTACCAAAAAAATTAACTAGATCCCCTTTTAATGCATAATCTTCCATCCATCAGGCTGTAAATTAAATACCTAACATAAAACAAAGCTGTATATTTTCTGAATATGTACCTATATAACTGCAGGGAACATGATTTGGAAGGATATACACTTAGAGAAGACCTGGGTCACATGTGGTAGTCAAGGGAGTCTTCACCTTTCTTTTTGTATTTAAATTTTGATAGAAATATATATATGTATTATAATTTTAAATTTTTAATGAAAAAAGTATTTTTCCTTTTTTTTCTTGATCTGTCAACAGGTTATATTTTTCCAATATCAGCTAAATATTTGCTTCCCAGAAAGCTTAGTTATCTTTTCAGAATTTATTCAGGTTAAAATAAAAGATTTAGACAATGAATTAAAAATCTAAGATGATAGATTTGCCTACTTTATACAGAACAGTACATTGATGCTGCTAAAGCAATTAAAGTATAATTTTTCTTTTCTTTTCTTTTCTTTTTTTTTTTGAGACGGAGTCTCAAAGCTCCAGTGCTGGTGGACCATGCCTGAAATGCGAAGAGCTCCCCAGGGGCAGCCCCCAGGGCCACACACCAGCCTCACACTCCTTCCACACTGCATCTTCCACACTGCATCTTCCCCCAGGGCCACACACCAGCCTCACACTCCTTCCACACTGCATCTTCCCCCAGGCCCACAGTAACAACCCACATGGCTATGCCAGCACATGTGTGCACAGGCAGGTTTTGCTTATCTTGTCCTGCCAGCCTGCGTGTATGTGTACACCCTGCCCTGCAACTGCTGCAGCAGGAGTGCAGTCTGCTCCACTCTCCCCTCTGACCACCAACAGTCAGAGCCTTGGCAAGCACAGAGCCAGCCAGCCCAACCCCGTTCCTGCCAGTGCCCACACATTTGCCAGCACTGCCCCAAGTGAAACTAGGCATGGAGAACAGCAGACTCTCCCCAATGCTGAGCGCTCCCCAGCACCCTGCTCCCATGTCAACACCACTACCGGTGCAACCACATGCAGTCACCAGCAGGGGCCCCCACCATGCAAACTGTGTTCCCTTTGCCACTGTGGTAAATGCTGGCACAGAGGCAGGCACACCAGCACCCACTAGCGCCCTACTGCAGCCATGCTGCTGCTGCCACTGCTGCTGGCACATGCAAATGAGGATGGATTACACTGTCTCTGTACTACTAAATGCTTTGGCTGACACCACCAATTAGAGTGTAGTGACCAGCCGTCTGAGAGCATCTTGGCTTACCCAGTGCAGTGGATTCTTAACCTCGAGGAGACAGAACAAAGTTGGGACTCAACACAAGTCCTCCGGAGTTAGAGCATGCAGTCCAGGAGTTGGGAGCTGAGTCCTGGCCCTCTCAAATCTTCCAGAAATGAAGCCAGTTGACTGAATCCACCTTATATAACAGTGAAACCCTCAAGGTCATCAAATAGGATAAAAGGAAAAAACCCATCCAAAGGTCAGCAACTTCAAAGATTGAAGAAACATAACGCTACAAAGATAAAAAAGAACCAGTGCAAGAACTCTGACAACTCAAAAAACCAGAATGCCATCATTCCTCCAAACAGCTGCACCACTTCTCCTGCAAGGGGTCCAAACCAGGCTGAGATGGCTGAAATGACAGAAATAGAATTCAGAATATGGATAGGAATGAAGATCATCAAGATGCAGGAGTATATTGAAAACCAATCTAAGGAAGCTAAGAATCATGATAACAATGCAGAAACCAACAGACAAAATAGCCAGTACAGAAAAGAATGTAACCAACTTGATAGAGCTAAAAAGCACACTACAAGAATTTGATTAATAGCAGAATAGACCAAGTGGAAGAAAGTATCTCAGGGTTTGAAGACTGACTTTCTGAAAGAAGACGGGCAGACATGAATGAAGAAAGTAAAATACAAAGGAAGGAATAAAACCTCTGAGAAATATGGGATTATGTAAAGAGACCAGATCTATGACTCATTGGTGTCCCTGAAAGAGATGGAGAGAGTATAAGCAACTTGGGAAATATATTCCAGGATATCATTTATGAGTACTTCCCTGACCTAGCTAGAGAGAATGACATTCAAATTCAGAAAATGCAGAGAATCCTAATAAGATAGTTCACAAGAAGATCATCCCCAAGATACAAACTCATTAGATTCTCCAAGGTCAAAATGAAAAAAAAAAAAAAAAAAAAAATTAAAGGCAGCTAGAGAGAAAGGTCAGGTCACCTACAAAAGGAACCCCATCAGGCTAACAGTGAACCTTTCAGTGGAACCTCTACAAGCCAGGAGAGATTGGCGGCCTATCTTCAACATAATTAATAAAAAGAAATTCCAACCGAGAATTTCATATCCGGCCAAATTAAGCTCCATAAGTGAAAGAAGAATAAGATCCTTTTCAGACAAGCAAATGCTGGGAGAATTTGTCATGACAAGACCTACCTTATAAAAGCTCCTGAAGAAAGCACTAAATGTTAAAGGGAAAGACTATACCAG